ATAAACAATGAAATATCTAAGAGGGACGATACTATCCACACATTCTTTTTTACCTCTCAAATGCTTCTTCATAGTTTTTGTTCTTTTATCTACTTCAATTTATTTGATCCGACTACCGAAATTTGAGAGATGTGTGTGAGAATTAATTAAAAAGAAGTGTGAATAGCATCACTCCATAAGAATATATGTGACAAATAAATAATCAATACAATAGTCTTTTACATATCATAATTTTGCTTCAATAAAGCGAGATACCTGCTATGAATGGGTCCTGTCATTACAAAACTTTGATATTTAACAGGTGCTTGAATGGTTAACACTATTTTTCTATCATTTCTAAAGCTCTTCTCCTTTTTATTTTCTTTGGTTGCAGCTACTGGAAGCTCTTTTGTTACATACATACATACATACATACATATATATATATATATATATATAGATATAGATAATAGAGTGTATGTATAGAATTATTAATTTAATACGAGAAATGCTTGATCTATTTCATCCTTGTTTGCTTCAAATGCTTCTATCATATATCAAAAGTAATCTAAAAAAATGGTAGTGGAAAAATTATGCATTTGGTACCGAAACTTATATACTGATACATTTGTACCGAAACTTATATACTGATACATTTGGTACCAAAACAAATGTATCACTACATAAATTTCGGTACAATTGTATCGGTACATAAGTTTCGGTACAAATGTATTAATATATATGTTTCGGTACAATTGTATCGGTACATAAGTTTTGGTACCAAATGTCTCAGCACATAATTATAGTATACATAAGTAAGTCATATGCATATACATATATATAGAAAAATTTACGCACAATAAAGAATAGATGATATATATATATATATATATATATATATATATGGGGGATAGGATCAAGTGTTCAATGTAAATGTAAAATATAATAATTCATTTACTTAAAAAACAACCAAAACCTAAAGCTGAGCTAACCAAATCACATTATATATACTAAAACTTAGTTGAGTTTTACCACTGTTCAATAATAGTAAAAGAGCGGAAATGCCTTTTATTTTTTCTCTAGTTTCTATTCTCTTCAGTTTTTGCCACAACAAATTGCCGCTTTTGGCCATTACTTCCACGTGTCTGTCATCGATGCATGCTCTATTTGGTTTGAGTCTTTTCTGTTTTTCTCTTGCTTTCTGTTGCTTTCTCACAAATTAACATCTCTCATGTTCTTCTCGAGCTTACCCTTTGTCGATCTCACTTTGTGGTGCCTCGCCAATTACGGCTTGCTCTGTGCCTGTCAAGCCATAGAAACCATCGTCGATCAACTCTCTATTTCGAGTTTATCCTGTGAATTTTTGTTTTCCATTCCACTACCATCTCTCGTTTTGTGTTGCCTCTCTGATTCTGACTTTGTTCCCGTGTGTCAAAGGATAGAAACCGGCTGAAGTCAATTTTCTGAGGCTTGGTTCTGCTCCTTGGGTTGCTGCCCTGGAGATTAAATTATCAAAATTCGGTGTTCCACGTTGCCGATTCCAATTGGTCGCTGCTGAGAGGATCAAATTGGTGAGTTTCGAAATTAAAACCTTTTTTCCTAATTGATTTCCTTGCTTTTGCTGATTATTGTTGGCTTTAATGCATGTTGATTTTTTATTTGGACAAGGATTGTCTGCCCCTCCCACTCCTGGTGCCCTCTCGTGCCCTCCTGTTTTGTGTGGTCACAGTTAAGCCACATCAACATTTTATATTGTTTTTTTTATAGAGATAATAAGACAAAAATGAATAGTAATATAAAATGTTGACGTGGCTTAACCATGACTACACAAACAAGAGGGCACGGGAGGGCAAACAATTCTTGTCCTTTTTATTTTTGATAATTTTGTTTATGTGGTTTGCGATTTTTGTTCTGATTTTGAGGTTTTGATTTTGTTGTTTCTAGGTCTTTTTGCTTTCCTATTTTTGAGTAAATTATTTGTGATCATTTTGCATTTATCAAAATTAAACTAGGGGAAATCGGTCTCTGTGTTGTGCCAAATATCTACAGTTTACATTTGGCCTAGTTTTGTGGATTTCATTTGGTCTGTGTAGCTATTTTTTGCCTGCTTTTTCTTAATCTTATATGCTTGGGTTATAAATTGTGGCTTTCCAGTATTTTGATTTTGTGGGCTTTAACCAATACACAATTTGCTCTGAGTCTGAGGTAGAAAGAAAAGAAAGTCAAGTATACGAATGAGTTAGAAAGTAAGGTGTGACTATTTCGAAGCACCTGTGACACTGCTGTTATATTTTGGGTACGTTTTCTGTCCTGTTTTTTTCCAGTTTGGGGATGCATTGATAATTGTTGGATTAAAAATGGATTTTTATTTTTTAGGCAGAAATGAGAGGAGTCGTTGGAATTTTAGAAAGCTTTGTGTTTATGCCTTTTATTGACAGAGGGAATACGGACAGGGAGAGGAAGAGGGAAAACATTAGTTTAGATTGCAATTTTAAAAGTTTTTATGCTGTTAGTGCTGGAACCTATGTATTTTGTTGGGAAATTGATAATATGTGAAGTTATTAGGATTTTGGAAAGCTTTGCCTTTCTCAGTTTTATCTGTCGGAGGGAACACAACTCTTACGTATATGATTTCAAGTTTTCCCTTTAGAAATTCAAGCTCTGTTGAATACATGAGGTGTAAGAAACTGTTTGGGATATTTTCAAGTTTTTATGATTCCTGAAAAAACCATGCTTAAGAGTTATTGTATTTTAATTTTTATTGAATTCAGGTAACCATCTTTAGTTTTTTTGCTTTGATTTGAAGAATTTCTCACCATGAAAGCCAGGGCTTCCTGTTGAGTTCTTAGTTTTTAGCATTGTAGATGCGGGTGGTATAAATTTTTACTTAAAAAATTGAACTCGAAGTGAAAACCCAGGTGAAAAAGCATGGAAACAACTCTTGCGTAGAAATGATTTCTGGGAATGAATTTTCTTGAGATTTGATCCCAGCTATTTGATAAGAGTCAGGTTTTATAACTCAAACCATTTCCAATAACTATTTGGTAATAGGATGAATAATGAATCTTAAAAAGTGAGTTCATACATATGAAATCATGTTTAAGCTTACTTTTTCCCTTATGAATATTTCAGCTTTGATCTTTGATTTCAAATATGTGATTTTGTCTAATTCTTTATGATCCTCAATTTCTATTGTCGTAATGGACATTCTTGAATCACATCGGTTAACACCAAACAAATGGTATGTGTCATAATTCTCTTTTTCTATTCCTTTACTTTCATACAGAGTTTTGTTTGAATGTCATCATTTTCGTAAACCCTTATACGCCCTTGATTCAAACTTCATCGTTCTTTAAATATCTGTATGAATTATACTCACACGTTTTGTAATCCCGCAGCAATACGCGGGTACTATTTCTAGTGTTTACCTAGATCTGCGCGCCTTTTTATTGTATAAAAATGAGTTTTCCCTTCCAAGTTCACACAGGAAAAAGATGAGAGAAAGCAAGGATGAGTGTTGCCAAAAAGAGAGTTGGAAATTGGCGTTGGAAAAAGACGCTCTAGGCAGTGTGTCCGACCCAGACTTCATAGAACTAATAGCATGGTCGGAAAATAAAAACATAACTCTAAAACGTGCATGTGTACATCGAATTCTTCATAATCTATGCTGAAGTAGACCACTGTGCTCACCGGTCGCTCGTTCTTTTTTCATCCTTTTGTTGAACAGAGAAGCAAGAGTGAGACGGTCTGTGCCAGTCTTATTTAGACTGATCTCCAAGGAACTGGGTCTCGATAGAGTTTCTTTAAGCAGTCAAGTTCCAGAAGAATTCGCACCAAGAACACAGCAGTCTTAATTCGCCTCCACGATCGAAAGCTTTTTGTTTTAACTAGTATTTTCACAGGTGGTTTTGTGAGGAATTTTTTCGTCGTCCAGTTTTCAGGGTCGTGTAAAGTTTGTACATTGTATCGATTTTGTTGTGTAATCAGAACAGTTACCTCAGGTGAGAAATCTATAGGAATCAAATTCCCAATTCTTTGGTGCAAATATATGCTTTCAGAGATTTGCAACCCGGCGTAATCTTAATCAAAATAAAACTTGAGGAACAATTAGCAAGTATTGAAACTGGAGAGGGAGGGAACTGGATCAAAAATAGCCTCCTCTAGTTGATCATATTCTTGAGTTTTAAGTCATCTTTAACTAAGCCGGCCAAAAAATTATAAGTCAAAACATGGCCCGTTTTGACATAAAATCCATCTCTTATGAAGGGTTGGGCCAAACAAATTTGGGACCCACCAGGCCAAAATATAGCCAACTGGACAGAGGGCTAGGCAAACATAGTCAGCCAACCAGCCCAAATTGGGCCTAGCTGTGCTGCTAGCTGACATCATATAGCCTTTTTTTTTTTTTTTTTTTCAAGATGAAATTTAAAAATTCTAATTTTTTTTTCCTATAAATACCTAAGTCATTTCTACACCATTTTTAACATCTTTTTCACCCTTCCATACTATCTTACCTCATTTTAATGTCTAGGTTGTTAACATGCAAATAAAATTAAATATATTTGATAACATGAAACTTAAAACAACATTTAGCAACAAGTGACCCTCAAAATATGTCCAGAAACCTAATTTTAATGTGGTAGTTTAATTTAATTAATCGATAGTCACTTAGTACTACGGTATGATGTTATTCCTCTTCACTTGTGAGTGAGAAGTCTTAGGATCGAATCTCGTGAATGGCTAATTCGATACCAAATTAGGTTGCCCATTGTGTGGCTTAGCCGAACTTCTCATTCTCTCAGTGTAAAATATATCGTTATACTAAAAAAAATTCAATTAACCGATAAAATTAAAATACAAACTTAAAATAATAAATTATTGAGGGGCTAAAAAACAGTCTCTTTTAATTGGAGATTGTATATAGATATAGACTGGCACTGTTGATTAAAAAATAATTTCTCCCTACAATTCAATCAATCATCTTTCAATTTTATTCTTCAAGCAAATAGTGCCAACGAAAAATCAAACTGGAGACCTCGAGTGCACAATTAAGCTCAGATACAAACTCTCGTATATTAATACACTTCAAAACTAAGTGGTAAAACTCTGTTACTAGTGAATATAATGTCCTTTATTCACCATATTCATACCCCCCCAACGGAAAAGGACATCTGTTTGGAAGATAACAAACGATTTCAGACTCCGAAAAACATGGCCATGGCGGCTACTATAAGTGACAACACAACCCAAGGTACCTTCATATACTGATATACGTGTACTGCTGATGCTTCCAGACTCACATATGCAAACTATTTTGGCATTTGGCTGCTATTATTCTCGTTCAGCCTAGCAGCGGCCGCCACCGAAGCCGCCACTCCAGTCGGATGGGTAGTCAGGTATGGATCGTTTCGCATTTCAGCACCAGTCACTCCCTCAGCATCTCGACGTGTTGCCGGTTTGTCTGCCGGTAACTTTGAAGTTGCATTCTGCAATACATACATAATACTAAATGTCACTCATATTCTTTTCCAAAGTGATCAAATTATCATTGAATTTGCTAACCGCAAGAATGTCAGCCAGTTTGGTCTTCTCCTCGTCCTTTGTAGCCCGACCATTGAGGGTTGCGGCAGACTGAGCCGCAGCGGCCACACCACCAGGTACTATATTGGTGCGGCCAGTGGCTCTAACCTCGGCCGCTTGAATTGCAGCGGCATCACTCCACTCAACTGGCTTCTGTCCGGCTGTCATAGCCGTGGCCTCCAGGGCCTCACCAATGGTGATTTGAACGGCGGAGCCTCCGACACGATGCATAGTGTTTGGTGGTGCCAATGGAGCTCGCTGGCTGTATTGCCCCACAACCTACCCTTCACAAAGAACATACACAAACGCATATGCATGTATTATATATTTTCGTTTCCAATGTGCAGGTGCAACTAAAGCAAAATGAAAATTAAATTAATAGAGTCACCAACGTAAGAAATAATTTGACAATAATTTGTTATAATTTTATTAATTTGAGTTCAAATGTTTGAACAAGGTTGTTTCACCAAATTTATCTTATTAGCTTGTATATTAGTGTTTTCTAAGAACAACAATAACAACGTCTTATTCCAATATAAGTGAGGTCGGCTATGTGAATTCTAGAACGTCATTGAGCTTGATTTTGCACTAAGTCCACCGTTAGCTCCAAGTCTTCCGTTATACATAATACGAAGTACTTAAGTTTTTTGTAGAATATATAACACTGTTTGGCCCATGCTAAATCATTTACTTTTTGTTTAGTGTTTTTTCATTTCCATTTTCGTTCAAAATTTTCAAACTTCCATGATTCTTTTCTATAATAGTACATGGTTACTTAATTTTAAGGTCAAACTTTATACCTCGACCAATTCATGGATTTTCCTTTGCTTTTCCTGATCTACATGCATTTGATTTGAATCCGAACCCTAGAACCAATCAAGAAGGAATCGAACAAAGGAACACTTCAAAATCAAATAAATTAAAAAATTGAATGTAAAATTATATATAAGCACTTTGAGTTGTTAGCTATAGAACTCAATTGTGTGCATATAAATATACTCTATGCAAGAAATATACTGAACCTGTCCACCGATCGACTCCGTTATTATACGGCGTGCCGGAACATCAGCCTCCTTAACGCTAACCCCGCCGCCGTCTCCTCCAACATCCGCTTTCACGTCACTTGAACCGACAACAGCCGCCTTCTCATTCTGCGTGGCGGCGGACTGGATGATTGCAGCAGCACCACCCTTGACGGTCTGCCCCAACACAGCATTTTCTGCCGCCTGGATCATGGCGGCATCCTTGGGCGTCACCACCTTGTCCGCCAGCTGGGCGCCCTGAACACCAGGAAACACATCCCCATATGTCACCGGCTCCTTCTGATCTTCAGGTTTCCGCGGCTGTTCTTGGCTCATTTTTCAGATCAAAAGTATTGTTTTTTTAATATATTTTATGGAATTGTAAGAAGAATTTTTTCGTGAAATGTTTGATATTTAGGTTAGAGAGTAGAGAAAAGCATGGAGAAGAAGGGGGAGGGGGCTTTTAACGTACGTGCATGGGGAGAGATTCAACATTTGGACACGTAGAAATGTGGCAGGATTTTGGGTGGACAGCATGATAGTGTTTGAGAGGAGTTGGCGAATTCGTAGGTGAATTTTGTTGGTTTCAAGTGCTTAGGTACATGGTTAACGTGGAGACAAATGGCATTGGGACGAAAAAGATGATGACTCGTTCCAAGTAGTAAGTACCTTGACCTATTTATTTCGGCTGTCAGCTATGGCCATGGGTGGAGAAAATTTCATTAAGGCAACCTGATTACGTGGATGGTATTAACATTGTACAAACAAGATTGGATTTATACGAAATATTCATGAAGCATGAATACAAATACACATATGCTGACAAGACATAACGATATTTAAAATTTAAAATATATTAAAATATGATATGTCATAGATACGACAATAAAAAAACATTCAAATTCAAGTTCATTCTAGTGTAAGGGTTATATTCCTTATTTCATTAGACGCAAGCTCTTTGTATTCATCAACATTCAACTAAATCTTTATTTTTTAATTATTTCCTTCTCTTAATTTTTCATTTGAAAGTGTAATGGTATCTTAAAAGCTGAATACTTTTATTCAACAAGTATATCCAACAAGTATCGTATATGATAAAATATAGGATACCAATATGCGACTAAACTAAAATATCCGTGTTTTATAGCAAAACATATTATTCAAAGTTGCAGCGATTGACGCGAGTTCCTCTCGAATTTGACTGAAGCGCCCGCAACATAGTGTCTTGCTGAATCACGAACAATAATTTGCCATCCTTGTTTTGGAGAAAATTTTCATTGTGACGGAAATATGGGTGATACACTGCGTGTTTTTATATAAGTTGTTGAAAATTGTATTTTTTAAGTTATTAACTTTTTAGCACACATATTCCACCATTGATATAATAACACGTGACGTACTATTTTATGTTCCAGTCATACTGAAAAATCTCTTATTATTTTGCTAGGAGCCCAATAGAAAACATAAAGATTACAAAACCCAAGTTCACCTTCAATCCTAGGCGAGTATAACCTTTCCAAGAAAGCTAGTGAAGTTTTCTCCACCAAAAGGCAGCCATGATCCGATTGAGGTCATCGCAAAAATGTTCACTCATCGTGTAAAGAGGAACGATTGTGCTTTTACTTTGACGAGAAATTTTATGTGTGCCCTAAAAACAAGGTGAGACACCGCATGTTATAATACAATTGGAGATAAATTTTTCTTTTTCAACTGTTCCTCCAATTGTATTATAATAAGTAGTGTGCCGCCCTATATTTTGAACACAACGAAAAATCTTTCCACTTTGACAAGTTACTTCGTACCCACCGCACTGAGAAGTTTGCCCTTCCAGCACTGAAGCCTTTTCCACACTCTCTCCTTAATATGGCTGAAACAAGAGCTTGATCAGTTGATCCCTAAGGCTTGATCAGTCGCCTTCACATTTCGACTGAAGCACACTGCGCTCGTCTGGAGACTTACCCTCTGCCCAGAAGCCTGCTCATGGGAATCAATAGTCATTGCTCTAGCCCATTACCCCATTATTTAACAAAGACGAGTGATTTTGCTCCCTTCACAATTAAAAATTTATTCCTTCACAACGCTTTCAACCTGTAATCATATCCAAAACCAAAAACGTGTTATTATTTTCACATTTATTATTTATTTACGACACTTAGTGAGAATGGTGCCACAATAATTTTGGTGTCACATGCTTCACAAGAAATTCGTGTGTGGATTTACCAATCTTTGCGTCTTTCGAGAAACTTCTGCAATGACATAACGAATAAGTGGTAGATCATCCAAAAAATGGGGATCCGTTTTCTTAAAGGCCTCCACAATTGTAATTACACTTTGAGCTCACTAAACATGGGCTCAAGCAAACAAGGCCTTCAAATTAGACCCATATATCAAAATCATATAATAAATCCAATCAGAGGCCCAGGCCCAGATCTTTCTTCTTCCTCCTTCGTTCATTCCCGTTCATTCATTCATTCATTCAGTGAATCAACTGAGCATTTCAGCTGACAATCGAATTCGGTCTTTAGGTTGTCAATCTCTCTCTCTCTCTCTCTAGATTCTCTCTCTAGAATCTCTGATAGGGAGGCAGAGATAGCCTGAAAGATGGAAGGTGAGAGAAAGCTGTCGGCGGAGGCGGTGGCGATATTCAGAGAAGGCATAGGGTTGGTTTTGTCCCGGTGGTCGGCGCTCCAATTGGCCGTCGACAACGAGTGGGGCGGCCGTGGCTCGCGCCAAAAAGCGGAGCAACTCGCGGCCGATGCCTTCTCCTGGTTCACTCAGTCTGCAGGTATTCAAATCAACTCACTCACCTCAACTATGGGTATGTTTGGGAGTGCTATTAAAATAAGCGCTTTCAGATCACCAAAATTCTTTTGATCATGTTTGGCAGAAAAAAAAAAAGAAGTGCTTCTGGGTTAAAAAAGCACTTGCCATTTGAAGAGCTTTTGGGAGAAGCCCTTGAAATTTTATTAGAAAATTTGATGTGCTTCTAATAGAAGTGCCTATGAGCAGAAGTGCTTTGAAAAGAATCCACCTTTTTTGTTTCTGATGGTGCTTATGTATATGTGTTGATTGATTCTATTCAGAGATTCTATACATTGATGATTTGGAAGATATTCTCAATGAAGCTATGATTTCTCTCAATACAATGATAGAGGATGGCAGCATTGAGGAGGTAATGCTCTTCAATTGATAAGTACCCATTTCAATTTTCCTCGGATTTTGTTTTTGATTGGAGCAATAATCTAATTCTCATAATTAAACTATACTACGGGGAGGAGATTCGAACTTAGGTGCAGAGGGGTAGCACTTGCCCTAATTTTAATTTAACTATATACTACGGGGATGGGAATCGAACCTGGGTGGACAGGGGCAGATCACTTGGCGCTAGTCAACTTGATTTAGCGGAAGCCTGGCGATTTTCCTTTGATAGCTATCATTTATGTATATCTGCATATTTTTGCTGCAATTTGGCTAGTTTTTTAATATCGGGGATGCGGTTTTTCAGTATTGGTTTTCTGTCTTGATGATGTTTGTAATCCGTTTTTCTTCTCTGAACTTTTACAGGTGGCTGAAAAGTTAATGTTTATGTATGAAGACTGTTTGACTGGCAATTTCAATTCTGTTGAAAGTTTGAGAGATGCCAATCATCGAAGAGTTGCCGTTCCTCATGTTAGACAAGTGAGTTATACTCAATGCCCTTAGCTTTTAGCGGATTTGCTTCAATTCGATAATTTTCTTTTGAGTAGACATAACAAAGAGGCTGTGTTATTCGATAAATGATGCACATGTTATTTGTTAGTACCACTAATGTGTTGTAAGTAGTCAGTTCTTCATGAGTCTATTTGAAGAGGACTTATAATTGTTGGTAACGTGATCTGAATTAGACGTCAATTAATCGTTTAAGTATCAAGAGTGATACTGGAAATTGTGCTTATTAGTTGACAATCACAGCTCCTGATAAGAGATGAGAGGCCTCCCGTTCCATGATTATTATCCTCTCGTGCTATCACTTTGTTTTTTTTTTTTTTATAACAGATGTCTAGGGCTAACTCTAATTGGAGAGGGAAAAGGTGGTAATTATCGTTATATTGCAATTCGTGTGATGAAGGTAGCAAGATCTTATGATGTATCGTCTCATATTAACATACTTGATGATTTTTTAGGTTGTCAACTATTGTAGTAAAGAAATCAAATCTTTCAACTGCTTTGCAAATGCATTTTCTTCGGGAATTCAACTTGTGTAGCTCTGTCCTATTTAAGAGAAATCCTTCTGGACATTGGAATCATGGGAACAATTCATGCTGGAGAACCTTTCTTGGTCATATGCATGCTCCAAAGTATTGAGTGTGATATATTGAAATCATATTGCTTACATTTCTTTTCGTTTGCTTCCTTATCATTTCAGGAGAATGAAGATGACGATGATGATGATGACGATGACAACGAGGAAACAGATGGTTCATCAAACATGATGGTGGACACACCAGAGTCCCAGCCAAATTTGGATCCAGCAGACGCGACGAGCAGTAAACCAACTCCCAAGCCAGCAGCTAAAACAGAAGATGGATGGGAAGTAGTTGGACCAAGACGTAATCGGGGTAAAAGGAATTAGGTTGAACCCTAAATTGTGTGTCCTAAAAAATTTTGTATTTCGCTCCGTCGAGTAGAGTTTCTATCTATTTTGTTTGATCATGTCCGTAGCTGGTTGGTTAGTCAAATTTCGCGTGTTTTCCCCTTTACTTTTTCTGAGAACTTGTAGCACAACTACATGATTGTATTGGAGTTTCTTTAGGTACCGTTTGGTATGCAGACAGGACGGAACGAAGATTCCGTGCTATGTTTGGTATGTGCAGGATGCAACGGGACGGTTGTTCTATTTTGTGTTTGGTAAGCGCATGTCGAATGAAACCAAAACATTAAATGACCAACTTACTATTGTTCCGTCTGTTTTTTGGTGCAATGTTTATGCGATGAGATGGCACTGGACGAGACATTCTTTTAGTTGTTCATATATTTGAACACATATATGCTTATCTATGATATATTAAGTGACATAATGTTCATTAACATATTATCAATGTTCTCTTAACCCGATTATGACCCGAATCCAATTATAATGAATCGTATATGGATTAAGCCCATCCGATCTAAATCCGATCTGTTTGTAGGTTTACGCCAATGCTACTTCTGTCCCAACAAGTACATCAAATGTACCCACATATATCCCCAGTTTTGTTTTAGTTGGATAAAGAAGCGAGCATCTCCAAATCGGATATCAATTGCAAAACATCGAATTCAAATTTAATGACTTACGTGATAATTTGATATCGTGTATTTGGCTGGGCTCATCAGTTGGAGCCAGATTTGTTCTTATAAATATCTGTTTTTGTCCGATTTACAGTTTTGACATCTTGTTTGAAAATAGAAAGTTGAGTTTCCAAGTACACTATTGATAGATTAGGCACCTGTAAACAGATGTAACGTCTCATCATATCATCACCACCAAATCTATTTTAAAATTAGCTAGTCTTGATTAACTTTTGGCCTATACGAAAGCATGATTTGCTATTTAACAAGAACCAGCCATCAATTAGGAGAGTGAGCACAAATTGTCAAATTCCAATGATTTTGGCAAGGTTAAGTCTTTATGTCCGCCAGTCAAACCGCGTCACTCTGCAGTAACACACAAAAAGAAGAACCGTTGTATTGTATTTCTTTTATTTATACTCGTTGTCTCATTCGATTCTCTGTAAAGCCGTATAGAATCTGTTGGACACAAGTTTTTCTCCAATCACAAAGAAAATATGAGAGAGCGGAATTTGTGCTTGGAAAGTTGGTGCCTATAGGCTATAGCTGGTAATCATACATATTGAGCTCCACTTCCAACTCTTTGAATGCATCCACCGTTTTAGCCGCAAACTTCACCGGCCCTCTCAAAGATAACCACCGCCCTCCTCCACAATCTACGACCACCAAACTCTAGATATATATATATATATATATATATATATATATATTATAAAGCTAGATTTTAATCTCTAAACAGGATGAAGTTTAGAAAAATGTTTTATACAAGATTAAAAATTGATTTTAATTCTCATTATGGTAAGCATCTTATATAAGAAAATATTTTCGTAGAGATTTTTCGGTACACTTACGTTTTTGCATATTTTCTTATCTGCCACTAATTCATTACAATATATTTAGGTACGAACATTTTGGTACACTGGGTTAGTATAATATGTTTAGATACGGACATTTCGGTACACTAATTTAGTATAATATATTTAGGTAATGACATTTTTGTACACTAGTTTAGTATCATATAGTTAGGTACGGAATTTTCGGTACACTTATGTTTTTACATATTTTATTTTGTGTCACTAATTCACTACAATATATTAAGGTACGGGCATTTTAGTACACTAATTTAATAAAATATATTATAATATGGACGTTAAGGTACACTGATTAGAGAAAGTTAAATAAAATTAATGAATTAAAATGTGTATAATAATAAATTTAAAATTTAATGTAATAACATTAAATAAGTTATCTATTAAATATAAAAACAAAAATATAATATGAATTTGAATTAAGTACACATTAAGAGACTAAAATCAATATTCAATCTAACAAAAATATAATATGAATTTAATGTGTATATATATCGAAAAATTCTATTCTAATCCTTTTCTAAGATTACTTTTTGAATAAAACTTGTCTAAGATTAAAAACTAATTTGAATCCTTGGCATTTAATTGTAATTTTTTTAATATTAAGTATGCTGTAATAATTATTGAGTTTTTTGTTTGTAGGTTATATATTGATTTCCATAAATAATAAAAATTTTATTTATCATTGATAGTTATTATTAAGTTCCCATAATAAGAAAAGTAATATATTAAATTTTTTTTTTTTTTTTTGTAAAATGATAAATTTTGTTAGATTATATGTTATATATTATTATTTTTTTCATTGTGCATGAATTTCTCTATATATATGTATATGCATATTATGTACATATGTATGTTGAGATACTACAGTTACGTACTGATACATTTGTACCGACACATTTGTAAAGATACATTCGTACCAAAAATTATGTATCGATACATTCGTACCGAAAACTTACGAACCGATACTTCTACACTTATGAGTAAAAGAAGGTACCTAAAGTTATGTATTGATACATCTGTATCAAAACTTATGTACCGATACTTCCGTACCTATGAATAAAATAAGGCACTGAAAGTTATGTATGAATTGTTTTTGTTTTGCTGTTGAATTTTTTTATTAATAAGAATTTAAATTTTGAATAAATTTTTATCTATTAATTTGATTAGAGCACAAAAAAAAACATTAATTATGGATGAGTAAAGAATTTCGAATGGTAAGTTTATAAATAATAACCATGCTATAATTATTTAAATATGATAAGTTTTAAAAATAGGAACTCATATTAGATTTTGAAAATCATTCAGGTTAAAATCTAAAAACAATCTTCTTGAAACCCTAAAATCTATATATACACACACACACACACACACGAGTTGTTCCCAACTAAAGCCCTCCAAATCTTCGTCTATATCTTTTGAACCACCCCTACAATATGAACATTCTCATTTTCTTCCTAATTTTAACCTCACAAATAATCTACAATCTTCCAATAACTTCATCCCAATTAACTGATCCCCCTCCCTACTCCGGCAACCAAGGCCAATGGCGCCTTCTCCACTCCTCCGTCGGCATCTCCGCCATGCACATGCAACTCCTACGTACCAACAAAGTCATCATGTTCGACCGCACCGATTACGGCCCTTCCAACATCTCCCTCCCCCGCGGCCAATGCCGCCACGACCCCAACGACGCCGCCCTCAAAGTAGACTGCACGGCTCACTCCATCCTCTATGACCTCGGCTCAAACACATTTCGCCCCCTCACCGTCCACACCGATACATGGTGCTCCTCCGGTTCCGTCCTCCCTGACGGAACTCTCGTCCAGACCGGCGGATACAACGACGGCGACCGCGTCGTCCGCACGTTCTCTCCATGCAACAACGACAATTGTGATTGGCTCGAGCTGCCGAACTATTTAATACAACGTAGGTGGTACGCTACTAATCAAATACTACCGGACGGCCGTGTAATCATTGTCGGCGGCCGCCAGCAATTTAATTACGAATTTTATCCTCGGAGTTCCCAAAACCAAGGTGGGCCCCGCACAATCCGGCTCGAATTTTTGAGACAAACTACGGACCAAGACGAAAACAATTTGTACCCATTTCTCCACTTGTTACCGGACGGAAATTTATTTATTTTCGCCAACACAAAATCTATAATCTTCGATTACAGCCAAAACGCAGTCGTCCGAGAGCTCCCCAACATCCCCGGCGGGGACCCACGTAACTATCCGAGCACGGGCTCGTCAGTTTTGCTTCCACTAGACGAAAACACACCCAACGGAAGCATAGAAGTCGAGATAATGGTCTGCGGCGGTGCGCCGCGGAACTCGTACGTGCTCGCGTTACACGGAGAGTTCATCAACGCGCTTGGCACCTGCGGGCGGCTCAACGTGTACGACCCGAACCCGAGGTGGGTCGTGGAGCTTATGCCGGTTCCTCGAGTCATGGCTGATATGCTTCTTCTGCCGACCGGAGACGTCGTCATCATAAACGGTGCCGCACAAGGAGCGGCCGGTTGGGAAAACGGGCGCGATCCGGTTACCACACCTGTCATTTACAGGCCGTCAGAGGTTCTGAACCACAGGTTTTCGGTCATGATCGGTTCGCCGAGAGCGAGACTGTACCATTCCACGGCTGTCCTGGTACCTGACGGCCGGATTTTGGTCGGCGGAAGCAATCCGCACGCTTACTACAACTTCACCGGCGTCGAGTACCCGACTGATCTGAGCCTGGAGGCGTTTTCACCGCCGTATTTGTCGGAGGAGTACGACCTGGTTCGGCCGAGGATAGCTGCGATAGACGTGGTTTTCGGGTACCGGCAGTTGATTTCTGTCGAGATATTGGTGCCGGAGTCTCTGTCGGTGAGGGTTTTGTCGGTGAGATTGGTTGCTCCGTCGTTTACGACGCACTCATTTGCGATGAATCAGAGGATGGTGATATTGAAGCTGATCGGAGTGACGCACGTGGCGGCGGGTACGTATAGGGTGAACTTGGTGGGGCCGTCGACGGCGGAGATTGCGCCACCGGGTTATTATCTGCTGTTTGTGGTGCACGCCGATATTCCTAGCTCCGCTGCATGGGTGAGGGTGCAGTGAATCAGTGACTGACAATGCGAAAGGATATAATGGTAAATGAAGTAATAAAGTTTTGAATAAAATTGTATGCAATATGTTATGGAAATTATTAGTAGCACCCCAAAAATCTCATTTGGTATTTTCTATAATTATAAAGAAAAATACACACTTATGAGGAGTGTTGAATGAGATTTTTGAAGTGCTAATAACAGTTTCTAATTCCTATGTTACAAATAATGAAAGAAGTATGGGTTTTATCCATCATAACCATCTAACTTGAAAAAAGTCCAACTATTTTTCTTTTAAAAAAATAGACTAGTTGGTGGCTTCGCTAAAACAGTCTACTCTTTCAGCCGAAAAAATTAAAAGTCATATTCACACAACTTAGGGGTGGGTTGAAAAAATTGACAACCGAAAAAAAAGGGGACCAAAAACTGAACCGCAACCGAAAAAACCAAACTAAAAAAAAACCGAACCAAAAGTACAAAACGATCTAAACCGAAATGGTTTGGTTCAATTTCGGTTTTTGAGGTTCAAAAACCGAACCGAACCGAACCGAATAAATATATATTTATTTTATATAAAATTTTAATTATTATATATAATGGGTATTTATTTCCAAACTAGTTCCAAGCCCAAACTTCAAACCCTTCAGGCCGAATAGAATGTTAGACCTCCTATTAGAAAGTTAGAAACCCTAGCATACTAATTATTTCTTCTTTTCTTCTCCCCAACTGTGATCCTTCTCTCCATTTTTTTCTTCTTTTTTTTTCCTCTCATGCCGCCACCTTCCTCTCTCCCATTTCTCTCTTGCTTTTTTCTTCTTTTGTTCTCTCATCTCCCTCTCACCTATTTCTTTCCCTTTCTTTTTTTTTTCTCCCCTAGTGCATCTCTCTTTATCCCAATGTCCAACTCATACATTAGTCGAAGTTGCCATGACTTTCGCCATCATCAACAACAAGGTGGTTCTCACTCACCATTGTTGACATGCACCAAATCTAGCCACCTTTCACCGCAACTATTACGATGAACTTGTTCTCCTCGATCACTGAGCTTTGATATGGAAGATTCGACTAAGTGTGGTGCAAATTGTATATAATTCTTGTCGATTTTATTCTTTGATATGGCTTAATTTTGATAGATATGACTTATGAGTGACTTGGGTTTGCAATTTTATTGATTTGGAATTTGGTCTTTTTGATTTTAAAAATTATGTTAGATTTGAATGGATTTGAAGTGTTATATTTTTAGCTAAAGATTTGTTTTTTTTTCAAGTTTCTTCAACTTTCATTGTATTCAGCATTATTTGTATTATTTAAAATAAATAAAAAAACGAATCAAACTGAAACCGAACTGGAAAACAACCAAACCGGATTGAATGGTAACTTCGGTTCGATTTTCTATTTTGTGCAAAAACTGAACCGAATGAAACCAAACCCAGCCCTAACACAACTGTCCAACTACTTGAGTTGTGTAAAAACTATATGTCATATTCACTTAATACAAAAATTAGAGCTTAACACTGAAAATGGTCTGATGGTATTGAGTTGGTAAGAATCATTATCTTTGCCAGACAATCTTTTTTGATGGACAATATGTAAAAACCAAAAAATAGACTAAGAGACTTATGATATTATTTGGCCAATGGAATGAAGTAGCCTCCCTTCCTCCTAAACTTTATTTTACCAAAAAAATTCACAAAAAAAGAAAGGGAAACTAATGAAAAGGGCTTGAAAACTTTGAGTTTTAATGATAATGACAAAATAAAGGGTAAATGAATAGCACTAAGATTAGTGTAAAAATATGATTTTTCATTAAAATGAACAGTACTGTGGCTTTTTCGTTAAAACTTACAAAAAAAAAAACCAAATAAAGGGCACTTCCGTCTTTCTAGAAAACCGCGTTAACTGTCAACAAAATCCCCCCTGGATAAAATCTAAAGCACCTCTCTTTCTCTCTGGGTCATAATCTCGTCACGGTGGCCCACTCACACAGGATAGTTTACAAATCCCCGCGGGTCAATCCCGTAATTTCCACAAAGACAGCGCCCGTTAATTTACCGGCTAATGTATAACAACCACAGCGCCCGTCAGTTTTCCCTCCGAGAACGCGCCCCTTCCACTGACCACCAAAAAACCAAACGGAAAAAATCGAGCGAGAAAGAAAGTGAGAGAAACGCCGAGAAGACTTCAAGCTGGCGGAGAAAGCAGAGAAAGAAAAAAGAGAGAGAAGGAGGGATAAAGCGATGAAGCACATTTTCAAGAAGCTTCACATAGGGAGCAACCACGACCCGACCCGATCGAACGAGGCCGCAGCGGCGGCCTCCTCCTCCTCCGCCGTAGCCTCGCTGTCGTGCGCCTCCGATCACAGGGCAGCGTCAGGTCAGACGTCTGGAAACGCTCCGGCGAGTCCTTCGCCGACTCCTGCGGGAAACGTGGCAGCTGGGGGAGGTGGCACTGTGGAGACGACGACTGTGAATCGGCCGGACTATATGATGTCGGAAGAGGAGTATCAGGTCCAGCTCGCCCTGGCGATCAGCGCTTCGAATTCGGACTTTAGGGATGATCCGGAGAAGGATCAGATCCGCGCGGCGACGCTGCTGAGCTTGGGCGGCAATCCGATCGATTCTTCGAGAGATAAGGTGGAGGCGGCGGCTGAGACCTTGTCGCGGCAGTATTGGGTGAGTTTGGTGAAGTTTTTATGTTCGAATTTATTGTAGTGTATCATCATGAATTGATTGTTAATTATGTTAAATTTGCGTTTGATTTGGGATTAGCAAAGCAAATTTTACTGTTAATTCAGTTTGACTGTTGTCATAGTAAGGTTGACTGTTTGGAATTTGCTCAATTCATTTTTAAGTAGGAGAAAGATCTGGTCTTTTGCACTATCAGAATCCTGCTAATAGTGTAGTAGTGAATTCAACTGTATGAGCATATGGTCTGTAATGTTCTGGAGTTTTTACTAGTTTTCGAAATGACCCGTGAATTATCTTTTGATAAGTTTACTACTTTGGCATGTCATCTCACTTCTAAAATTTGGATACAAGTTGGCGTTAGAGTAGTTGAAGGCGTGGCAGAAATGTAGCTGAGCTCAATTTTTTCTTGGCCTAGTCTTGTGTCCTGGGTTAGAAACGATTGTTTACTGACAGAGTATTAATGACAGCCTTTTGAGAGCATCATTATAAATTTTTAAGTTCTTACTTGTTCAGTGTCAAATAGAAAAATCCTCCATTAGTGGTAGTAGATTCCGTTGATAAGGCAAGATGCAGTATTTTTACCACTTTTTTCATTTTGTTTTGCTTGTATATGCTACTATGAAGACATTGTTTTTACTTTTGCTCATCTTGATTCGGATTGTATTCTCTTGTTTATACCAGGAGTACAATGTGCTAGACTATGAGGAGAGAGTGGTTGATGGATTTTATGATGTATATGGACTTTCCACAGATTCAGCAATTCAAGGAAAAATCCCTTCTCTCACAAATCTTGAAACAAACCTTGGGAGTTCTGGATTTGAAGTTTCATTAGTAAATCGAATAGTTGATCCTGTATTGGAAGAGTTGGTGCAAATTGCACAGTGCATTGCTTTAGACTGTCCTGTCACCAACGTTGGTGTTTTGGTTCAGAGGCTTGCTGAACTCGTTAGCGAACGTATGGGTGGGCCTGTAAAGGATGCAAATGTTGTCTTAGCGAGATGGATGGAAAGAAGCACAGAGTTGAGGACATCTCTGCAAACAAGTTTATTGCCTATTGGGTCCATAACCATTGGCCTTTCCCGACATCGTGCTTTGCTTTTCAAGGTTCGGTTTCAGATTATCATTAGTTATTAGAATCTTTGGGCAATAATGTTTTGTAATCCTTGATTTTTTTCTGGGGTTAGTATAGCTAGCTGTGTTCTATATTATGGAGGCTTTGTTATTTTCAGTATTAATCATATTAAAAGAGTGATGCTTGTTTTGTCCTTACAAAAAATATGTAAGTATAGGTCCTGTAATTCGATTTTTCATCTCACCTCGGATGTATGTAACCAACTTCTCTTGCTTTTTATGTTTTGGATTTAATACATTGGCCGTGCTATTAATGGATCTTCTAAATTTAAATTGTTATTGACCACTGGAAGCTTTTTGGTTTTACTGACATAACACAAGTTTTTTGCTTGTATTTCTCTGCTTTATGACATTAAGCAATTATTTTTTGCATTTAAATGTAAGTAGGGACTTTATCGGGGTTAATTAATGATCTTACCATTACAAATTTCTTTTAATAGAAGTTGAGGCTACATTTTGTATATTTATCTGTTTCTTCGGATGTAGGTACTAGCTGACAATATCAAGATGCCCTGCAGACTGCTTAAGGGTGTTCATTACACTGGTGCTGAGGATGGTGCTGTTAATGTAATAAAGTTGGAGGATGACAGGTAGTGGTTTGTGCTTTTTGCAGGTTTTTGTGGTTAAATGTTGATACTTTTTGTATAATGTGTTGGGTTTTCACTTATATTATTCTGGGCTGTGCATGCAAAAAAATTTAATCTAAAAAAACTTATTACAAGGTCTCTATAATTTTAAGCAGCTGCTGTGAGTTCGGTTTTATTCTAAAATTTTTACTGGATCTCAAAAACCTTATAAATTTTGACTGATTAACGACAACTTCTAGCCACGGAATAGCTTCATAATGTGCAGTAACATAGGAGATTTTGTCATCTTTCCATGCATTTAGGGTGTAGTCTAGCATTAGATTTCTTTTGTCCTTAGAGTTGAGCAGCAGTCTTCTTTGAATTTTTCCTACTTCCCAACTTGATCTGTTTACCTTTCTACATAGATTTACTTTATAGTTTGTCTTCAGGGAGTTTTTGGTGGATCTAATGGCTGATCCTGGAACACTCATACCAACTGACACCCAAATTTCAAAGGATGCTACCTTTAAGCCATACAATCCAAACTTGAACAAACTTCCTACTTTCCATTCTTATATCGACACAGATATCGCTTACCCAGGACCAAAACCATTACATGGAGAGGGAAGCAGCCAAAACTTGGCAG